CACAAAGAGCAACACACATCAACAAAAACTAGTGGCTCTACAACTTCAAGTCTTAAACACACCAATACAGAAGCAATACACACCTAGCAGAAGAAAATAGCCTAAAAATAACTTTAGGAAAATGTTTGAGGCCCTTAAAGAGGAAAGGGAAAAATTCCCTCAAAGAAAAGGAGGAAAAGACAAACAAAAAAAAAAAAAATGGAAGAAATCAAATCCCTTAAAGAAAACCAAAAAAAAAAAAAAAAAAAAAAAAAAAAAAAAAAAAAAAAAAAAAAAAATGATTCAAGACTTGAAAACCAAAATAGGGACAATAAAGAAAACACAAACCAAGGGGATTCTGGAAATGGAAAATATGGGAAAATTATCAGGAATCACAAATGCAAGCATAAACAGTAGAATACAAGAAATGGAAGAGAGGATCTCAATAAAGGAAATAGTCTCATCGGTCAAAGAAAACATTAAATCTAACAAAAGCTTAACACAAAATACCCAGGAAATATGGGACACCATGAAAAGACCAAACCTAAGAATAATAGAAATAGAAGTAGTCCAACTCAAAAGCACAGAAAATTTATTTAACAAAATCATAGATGAAAACTTTCCTAATCTAAAGAAAGATATGCATATGAAGATACAAGAGGCTTATAGAACACCAAATAAACTGGACCAAAAAAAAGTCCTCTCACCACATAATAATCAAAATGCTAAACAGACAGAATAAAGAATATTAAAAGCTGCCAAGGAAAAATGCCAACATATAAAGGCAGACCTATCAGAATTACACCTGAATACTCACTGGAAACAATGAAAGCCAGAAGATCCTGATCAAGCATTGAATTAAGACATTAAGAGACCACGGATGCCAGCCCAAACTTCTATATCCAGCAAAACTTTCAATCACCATAGATGGACAAAATAAAATATTCCATGACAGAACCAGATTTAACCAATACCTAGCCACAAACACAGCCCTACACAAAGTACTAGAAGGAAAACTCTAACCCAAGGAAGTTGGCTACATCTACAGAAACACAGACAGATTATCTCACAGCAAATCCCAAAGAAGGAAAAAACACACACAATGATGTCACCAACAACAAAAACTAAAATAACAGGAACTAGCAATCACTGGTCATTAATATCACTTAATATAAATGGACTCAACTCACCTATAAAAAAGATACAGGAGCCGGGCGGTGGTGGCAGAAATATATATATGTATATATAACAAAATTGACCTTAATTTATTGTATCAATAAATCAAAGACCATACCAATGTAAAGTATTCATTTCTATATTATATCCCACCTTAAATGAAAACAAACATTTATAAAAAAAATCATTTTGGGAAATTGGACATAGTTTTCTCCAAACTGCTTCCTGCTGTTTGGTGGGTGAAGTATTTTTAGAGTTCATGGAGACCTTTAAGCAGGTCTTGTTCCATCAAACCATATTAACTTGGAAAGAATCCACAGGTTCTCGTCTTCTGTGGAAACAAAAGCAGAACATCTTATCCAAAGCAACATATCCTTAGACCAAAATTTTGAAGTCAAGATACCTTTTAAAATATATATGCTGGTTTGGCTTAGCATATTGAACAATGAAATTAAATATATCTTTATAGTTAGCTCATTCACGGGCAAAAAATTCAAAGAAAACACAATAACATACATAATCTAGACTGTGTATCGTCTATCTTTATGTGACTTATTTTTCTATACCTCTTTAATCCATGACTGTACTCTTTTATATTATTTTTACTGTCTTTTTAAAGATTAGTTTTATTTTTAAAACTATTTACTTTTTATAACTGTACTCTTTTTCCTGTCTCTCCCAAGCCTACATAAATTTTTTGAACACAGTATGACCCATTCAGAGGTTTATTTTTGTCTAAATCTGTCTTTATTGTGTATATCTAATCATTTTCTGACCAGGAGTGCCATTTTTTCCCTAAACGTTAAGCAAGTGTGGCTAGGGCCAACTCTGTGGCCCTGCCTGTTGGCTCTGCCCCATCCAACATGGCAGAAATATGATCACCGACTCTGTGAGTCATGCTCACCACCCCAGCTCTGGGAAGGCAGTGTGTCTGTGCGCCATTAAGTAATTTGTAGCACACTACTCATAAACCCATTTAAGTGCAGGTCCTCCCAAAAGAGTCAGGGGTTTTTTTTTAATATTTATTTATTATGTATACAATATTCTGTCTGTTTGTATGCCTGCAGGCCAGAAGAGGGCACCAGACCCCATTACAGATGGTTGTGAGCCACCATGTGGTTGCTAGGAATTGAACTCAGGACCTTTGGAAGAGCAGGCAGTGCTCTTAACCTCTGAGTCATCTCTCCAGCCCTTAAGAGTTAGAGTTTTTACTGCCAGCATGTACCAAAAAGCCATCTCTTAAAGAAGCTATGCAGTTTTTGCTGCTAATGCTGAGTCAGGAAGCCTTCTCTTAAATGAGCCACGCCTCTGCTCACCACCAGCAAAGAGAACCTATCTGAAAAAAAAAAAATGCAGCTACCAAGAAGCTCCAATTGACTCTCAATTTTGTGGATCTAGAAGCCTTTTTTTAAATTAAGCTTTCTGAGGCTTTATGTGGATGTACATTGCTGAACATTGGGTGCCATTTTGTAAGCAGAGTCTACTTGCTCATTTCCCAGCCGCCCAGACCCGAATAATCACAGAAATTCTGTATTAATTATAACACTATTTGGCCAATGTCTCATGCCTATTTCTAACTAGCTTTTACATCTTAAATTAACCCATTTTTATTAATCTGTTTATTGTCACAAGACTGTGATCTACCTGTAAGTTTCTGGCATTCCGGCATCTTTCTCCTTCAGCAGCTACATGGCATCTCTTCAACTCCGCCTACTCTCTCTACTTCTCTCTTCTAGCCTGGCTATATTCTGCCCTGCTATACACCAAACCAGCTTTATTCATTAACCAATAAAAGCAACACATGTACAGAAGGACATCCACATTATTCCTGAAAACACTAGAACTAAAAGAAGCAAACTCACCCAGGAGGACTAGACAGCAGGAAATAATCGAATTGAGAGCAGAATTCAACAATACAGAAACAAAACAATACTAAGAAACAATGAGACAAAGAGTTGGTTCTTTGAGAAAATCAACAAAATAGACAAACCTTTATCGAAGCTAACCAAAAGGCAGAGAGAAATATCCAAATTAACAAAATCAGAAACAAAAAAGGGGACATAACTACAGACACAGAGGATATCCAGAGAATCATCAGGTCATACTTTGAAAACCCATACCCCTCAAAATTGGAAATTAAAGGAAATGAACAATTTTCTGGATAAATATCACTTACCAAAATTAAATCAAGACCAGATAAACAAATTAAATAGGCCTATAACTGCTATAGAAATAGAAACAGTCATCAAAAGTCTCCTAGTCAAAAAAATCCCAGAACCAGATGGTTTCAGTGCAGAATTCTACAAGATTTTCAAAGAACAAATACCAATACTCCTCAAATCAGCTTCTTCATTAACCAATGGTAATAAAACATTCACAGCATACAAAAGGGCATCCCTCATCACAGGCAGACAAATTAGCTGAAAAGTGTTGGAGTCAGTGCGACACAGCTCAGCAGTGAATACAAACAGGCCACATGCATGAATCTTGAGATAACCATGCTGAAAGAAAAAAGGCACATGTAGAACAATATGCAGTGTTCAGTTACACTTGAAAACAAGGTGAAATTAATTTAGAGAAAAAACAGAATTGCTTCCATGGACATTCAGGAAGGACAGGCTGACTACAGAGAGAAAAAAATTTCAAGTGTACAAGGCTAGGATCTGGTTTGTTAGTTTGATTGGTGGTTGTTGTTGTTGTTGTTGTTGTTTTTCAAGACAGGGTTTCTCTGTAGATTTGGAGCCTGTCCTGGAACTAGTTCTTGTAGACCAAGCTTGCCTCAAACTCACAGAGATCCGCCTGCCTCTGCCTCCCAAGTGCTGGGATTAAATATGTGTGCCACCACTGCCTGGCCAGGATCTGGGTTTTAAAGTATGTCAATTTTTTCTAAAGCACTGTCCAGAGTAACAAGCAGGGAGCACCCCAGAGTGCTGCTCCTCCCAGAGGCTGAGTGTTCCTTACATGGAAGTTTGTTGCTCTTACCTTTGTTGGATTATGTTCATTTCTGCATGAAAGAAGTGCAGGTGTTGGGGAAAGGAGGGATTCAGAGTGTGAGAATTGGGCCTGGCGCTGTGCCACGGGGTTTTCAATGGCAGACATAAAAGGTGAAAGTGATGTCAAGCTTTCAATTGTTTCCCTGAAGCCAGGAGGGCATGGCGCACAGGGGAGGGAGGACTCTAGAGAACCTAGCATAAGCCATTTGCCTAACTAAACATAGAAGGGTGCCAAGTGTAGATTGATGATCTCTGACTTAATGTTAGCAGTTTATAAATTACTAAGAAGTCATTTTTTAAAGAAAGTCCTGATGATTTGTTTCCTAATTGATTTAAGCCATAGTTTGAGATTGTGTGTACATCTCACTTCTTTTCAATCCTTTCTTTTCATTTGCTTCCCGCATGAAGACTGGTACAAATGACTCTGGAAGGTAGGTAGGCTACTTAACAGACTCAGTTTTAAGAAACCATTAACAGTTTTATAGTTAACAAAAATATAAGTATTTCAACATGTTACAAATAAATAAAAGGGAAAACATATGTAGAAGAGTGGCGTTGTATGTGATACGCATCTGAAATGTGGCTGTAAAGTGTCGGCAGTGTAAGAAACACGTCCAAATGGAAACCATCCGAAAGGAGTGAAAGGCAGACTGCAGCTCGTCTGCTGGAGGAGCTGCTGCTAAGCAGAGAACTGTGGCCCTGGCGGCCTTTCTGCCTGCTTAATCCTGCAGTCTTGCATGGCCTACAGCCAGCCGCAGACAGCTAGATGCCCTGTAACAGCTAAGCATCTGTCTTCAGGTTACTTCAGATCTCCATTAGAAAACCATGTAAGTGTGTCTGTAATCTTTTCAGTTGCAGAAGATCATAAGTAAGCAAGATGACTTCAAGACAGTGAAGACGAATGAGGCCGAATCCCAGGTATGTAAGGAAACGCTTCCAAACACATGGTGTTGGTAAAATCTGAACTCTGGTCCTCACACTGTGTGGTAAGTGCTCTGCACACTAAGCTGTCTCCATAGCTCAGTATCTCATCTCATTGTGGCTTCAAGGTGCATTGTTGTATGGCTACAATATTTATGCTCTCATTCCCTTTGGGGAAGTATTTAACATACATCTGTCTTTCCCAGTTCATAAGGCTGCAGGGAATAATCCTAGGATTATGCTATTTTATAGGCATGTGACTATATCTTAGGGATAACTGACCACCAATTCAGTTGCTGGATCCGAGCGTGTGACTGTTGAGTAGGTTAACAGACTGACCGGTATTAACCAGTATTCGTGTGGGACACTATTTTCCATTCCCACCAGTGGTATATACCAATACATTTCAGCTGACTATCATCTGGTCATTGTAAGTCCATCTTGCAAGATTTCCTTAAACATCTGAATCATTCTACTTTAGAACATATCTATTTCAAATGTATAAGTTTTTAAAAATCACAGCCTCTGCCAAGAGCACATCTGTATCCCAGCACTCAGGAGGCAGAGACAGACAGATCTCTGTGAGTTCCAGGCCAGCCAGAGCTACACAAAGACACCCTCTCAAAAACCAAATACAACCTCCCCTCCACGGACATCACAGCAGGGGAGGATACCTGATGCCAAGTTGTCTTCTTAGGAAGAAAATTATTTTTATTTAGTCCAGACTAGAGAATTGCTCAGTTGGTAAAGAATTTGTATTGAAAGCCCAAGGACATAAACTCAATCCCCAGAGCCCACATAGAAGCTAGATTTGGTAGTGTATGCTTGTAATCCCAACACTGGGAAAGTGGACAGGAGTATCCTTGGGGTCCCCTGGCAAGCTACCTAACCTAACCTAGTTGGTAAGCTTTAGGCCAGTGAGAGACCTGATTCCCAAAGAAGTGCTCATATTCCTGAGCATGACAACTAGGGTTGTCTTCTGGCCTACACACATACAAACACTGTTAAAAACAACAATAATTAGGAGCTGGGGAAATGTCACAGCGTCTAAAGCATTTGCGTGGAAGCACGAGAGCTCAACTCACGTACACTGTGTGGCTGGAAGAACCACAGTGACTGCAGCTTTGCAGATACAGGGCTCTGGCAGGGCAGGGCCAGTTAGAGACCCTGCCTCTCTGCAGTGGCGAGCAATCCAAAGGAACTGCATCAGCCTTGAGCTTCCACTCGTGTGCACCAGCAAAGACACCTGTGCCCACAAATGTGAATGAGCGCAACAATGGCAGGTGTGTATTAATACGTGAATGAGAAATTCCCTGAAACAAAAATGAAAACTTAGAAATATTTGTTTTCTTAGAGCAAAGTATGTTTAAATTGTTAAAACAGTGCAGTACTCCTTAAATCTCAGAATCTGGGGCTCTGAGGTAGAGTTACAACTTCAAGGCCAAGTTGAGCTATGGTGAGATCTTTACCTCAAGAAAAAGGAAGAGTGGGGCTCAGAGTATTGACTAAGCTTCCAGAGGTCCTGAGTTCAATTTCCGGCACCCACGTGGCAGCTCACAGCTGTCTATAAATCTGGGCCTGTGGGATCCAGTGCACAGACATCCATGTAGACCAAACGCCCACATACATACATAGATCTTTAAAGAGGGGGAACAGGCAGGGAGACTGACAGTGCCCTCAGCGGTGGTGCTTACAGAGTGTCCACAGTTCCAGCACCACTTAAGTGAAACAGATGTGCAGCCCAGTCTAGGAGGGCACGGTCCTCCTTGCTACTGGAAACCTGTCTCAAAAGAATAGGAGTTGAAGTGGACTTGTATAGAAAAATCAGAATCTCTTAATCAGGGACTTTAGAGCAGCTGTGGTGTGCACCTCTAACCTCATTTAATTTATGCGCAGAGCAAGACTTAAATCCAAATCTAATTAGAAAAACAAAATTCCCAGGGAATTAAGGGGAAAAGTTGGTAAATATAATCAAAATGCATTGTATGAAATTCTTAAAGAATTAGTAAAAATATTTTAGCTACCATGAATTTTACTCATGCTTTGACATTTGGTCTGATGTTTGGTAAATGTCAAAAGTAGAAGCTGTCCCTCTTCTGAGCTTAAATTTGGGGACATCTGGCTATTGACTTGATTTGTCCCCTCGTTCTGTAATCCTGAGGCAGACACCCTCTACACTTCACAAGATATGTAGAGCCTTAGGACTATGGAAATCTGAATCTAAAAATAAAAAATTCTAGTCATAGCCAAACTGAGTGGAAGAGAGAATGAAGACATGCTTTCACAGATAATGGTGTCTGTGGGCCCGGAGCAGACGGGGCCTTTGCTAAGAGTGCCAGGGAGCTGCAGGCCTCCTGTTGTTTAAGTCACGCAGCCCCTCTTTTAAATAGCCAGGTTCTGGAGACAAGTAAGTCTGTGATGCTGACTGTAGTTCAGTACTGGCCCTGTCTGGACTGCCACTCTGTGCAGGGAGAAGTCAGCAGTGAGGACAGGAGTGTAGGGTGGAGCTGGGAGGAGCACTGGGCGCTGGACTCCAGGCCAGTGTGGTGTGGGCTGCAGAGAGCCTCTGGGTGGCAGTGTCAGGGCACTTCAGGGAGCGCTAGGAGGGACTTGGTCTACTAGTCCAGCATGGCAGCACGCACCTGTAACCCCAGCTGACCTGAAAGAGAACGAGGAGACCCACCCTGGACTCTCTAGACTTTCAACTTTTCCCCATTCAGTGTAGTTTCAGCTGTAGGTTTGTCCTGTTAGGGCGTGTCCCTTCTGTTCTTAGATTCTGTAGAATTTCATCACGAGGATGGTAGTGGGAGTTGGGGGGAGTCCTCTTAGCCAAGGTCGTAGGCAGGAGTGACTGCCCTCATTGCCTTCACGTCCTACAGGACACACTCGTGGACACTTCCCCAAGCTCATACCCACAGGTTCCTTTCTGTGCTTCTTTATAGGAACCAGCAGTGAAAGAGCCTGGAATTAACACAACCCTTCAAGTGCGTTTCTTTGGGAAAAGAGGAGAAAAAAAACTTCATTATAAAGAATTTCGAAGGTAAACATAAAATTTGGGGTAATGTTATATGTAAGAAAGGAAGAAACTATCCGGGTGGTGGTTACACATACCTTTAATTCCAGCCCTCAGGAGGAATACACAGGCAGATCTCTGTGAGTTCGAGGCCAACCTTGCCTACAAAATGAGTTCCAGGATAGTCAGGGATACACAAAGAAACCGTGTCTCAAAAAGCCAAGAAGGGAGACGAGACGAGAGAGAGAGAGAGAGAGGAAGAAATGGAATATCCTCATTTTCTAGAACTGCAGACTGTAAGGCAGCAGTTGTTGGCTTCTGACCCCTTTGGCAAACCTGTCTCCAGAATACTTACATTGTGATTCATAGCAGTAGTAAAATCACAGTTATGAAGTAGCAATGAAATAATGTTGTGATTGGGGTCACCACAATATGAAGAACTATATTAAAGGGTCACGGTGTTAGGAAAGTTGAGAATCCCTGCTCTGCTCTAGACCTAGATACTCTTTATGGTTCTTTAAGGTACTTATCACTGAGAATTTAACCTATAAAACATAAAGTTACTATTCTTAAATATTCTAGCCCATTTTTTAAAAAATAATGTCTGATTTATAAAATGTAATAGTTATTTTTGGTTACTTGATATTGGCAAGTAAGAGACATGCCCCAAGCATCACTTTGGATTTTTTGTTTGGGTTTTTTGAGACAAGGTTTCTTTTTTTTTTGGTTTTTCGAGACAGGGTTTCTCTGTAGCTTTGGTGCCTGTCCTGGAACTAGCTCTTGTAGACCAGGCTGGCCTCGAACTCCCAGAGATCCACCTGCCTCTGCCTCCCGAGTGCTGGGATTAAAGGTGTGCGCCACCACCGCCCGGCTTGAGACAAGGTTTCTTTTTGTGCTTTTGGCTGTCACTCTGTAGACCAGGATGTCCTCGAATTCACAGAGATCGCCTGCCTCTGCCTCCTGGGTGCTGGGATTAAGGTGTGTACCACCACCACCCAGCAATTTTGTTCTTAACACTAAACAAGCAGCCCAGTTTAACACAAAATAAGGTCATGCACTGTGTCTCTGAGTGCAGCTCTGCTGGGACCAGCACTGGCTCATCTCAGCCGGAGTTACTGTGCACTGAAACGGTCCTGAGGTGTGAACACTCAGCTCTTGTCTATACAGGCCTCTTCTGCAGAGGTCCAGCAGTAAATCTGCATGACCAACAGCTGTATTGTGTAAGTAGCCAGACAGTGCAGCAGGAAGCAGACGGTTCCGTGTCTCAGATAAAGCATCATGCCAACATACTTCCCTGAACTTGTTTCTTCGTAAAATTAGAGTATCTGGTTATTGTAGTCCTTAACACAGTGGAGCCCTGCTTACCTCCTCCCTGGGCCTCCCTGGAGCACTCTGTGGAACACGGTTTCTAAACAGGTACTAGAAAGCAGCAGATCAGAATACTAGAAAAATCCTGATATGGAAGGCAGGGGGCCTGCATCTTCCCTGGCTCCCTGCATTTCTGCTAAGATTTGCTAAGTCTATATATACATATACACCATGTGCTGTTGTGTCTCAAACACTAAGCATCATCCTTTCTACAAGCTCTGTGGGAAACATGATGCCATTCTGATGCATTGCTCTGAATGCTTCTGTCAATGAAGAGATTTTACCCCATGTGGGAAGTTAGGAGTAGATTAAAGGGAGACCCAGGGAAAGGCGCGTAGCCCATGAAGATAGATGAGTTCTTATGGACGTTTATCAGGTGGTTTTCTTTTTAAAAGGCCCTTGGCATTGCAAAGAAGCTGCGGTGTGGAGAGAGGTGTGTTCTTCCCTTTCATAGCTGGTAGCAGTGAACAGAAGCACTCTGTAGCCAGTGTTGTTCAGAATGAGGTATCACCTCCGCTCTTCTCTCGTTCTCTGTCCAGTTGGTCACCTCTTGGTCCTCGGTTCTCCAGTGCTGCCGCAGCCCAGCACACTTCTTTGCCTCTTGCTCCATCTCCTTGGTCAGCCTCCCAGTCTCTTACCCTCTTCCTCCTATCTCAGAAGGTGGAAAAGAACAGCACAGCTGTTGTGCACGCCTCTTCGCTCACTACAGACTCATCTACAAATAAAGCATTCTTTTAATTATCCTGATGCAAATCAGTCAGGGGGCAGTTAGCACTCAGTCAGTTAAGTGCTTGTTCTATAAACACAAGGACCTGAGTTCATTTGCCAGCAGCTATATGAAAAACAGACGGCGACACATGCCTGCAACACCAGTGCTATGGAAACAGAAACAGAAGGATCCCTGGAGCTCACTGGTCAGACAGATCCACTGAATCGGCAATGGCAGACCCTGTCTCAAAAAATAAGGTGGAAAAGTGATAGAGGAAGACAACAGGCAAGCACTGAAACACACATACACCAACACGCACCCATATACACTAACACACATGCACCCATACACACACACTAACACACACACTAAAGCACATGAACACGCTAACCCAAAAAAGACGTTGAATATTATCATAGTACACAATACAAAAAAATTCAGTAAAACAAAATATAAAATGTATCAGTAAAATATCGCTATCCATTAGTTCAACCCACAACCCAAAATGCATTCAGTTTTAGACAAAATTCTGCTTTGACCCAGAAAGAAATATAGCATCAAAAATCTGTGCATCCGGTACATTCAGCAAATGTCACAGAGATAGACATTTATGCCCATTCTCCCCTCTACACTTGGACGCTTACAGGAGAAATGCGGACCCTAAAGCAAGCTACTAACAATGGTGGTTTTCTCCCACTAGCCTGATTGTATGTATTTCCTTATCCCATGTATATATTCTACCCATTTTAAACTATACCATGGCACACAAAAGGTAAAAATTATTTAAAGGAGATTGCAACACTTGAAAGCATAGGATGCTCATAATGGCTTTGACGTTACTCAAGTAATAACCCTTAGTGCAATTTTTCTAGATTCTTGTTCAAGAAAGTAAACGTTTAATCTGACAGCTATCAATGTGACTTTGCTCAAAGTAACGTGCTGGTTTTATTTTTTTTAAAAAAAGTGTGTTTTGTCACATAGATTCACGCTGTTGCCCCAAAAACTGCAGATAATTTCATGTAGACCTAAGCTTCTGATACAAAGTCATTGTTTATATGTTGGGGTGCATTAATTATTAAGCTGAAAGGAATGTCCTTCCCTATACTTTAACTTTTCCGGCTGTTGATGTTTGTGCATTAGGAAAATGCTCTTTTCTGTAAATCTGTTAAAGCAGCATTCAGCAAAACTTTTACACCTTCACACCGATGGCAGCTTTGGGTGCCAGGTGTAGTCTACACAGACCTGCTGGACTATTGGACTTGGCCAGTCCCTGGCTGCTTTCTCACGCCCTGACACTTCCTTCTGCTCACCTACCAGAGGCCAGCAGTTGTGGGGAGGCGGGAGCGCCTCACAGCCTTGCTTACAGTATTAAGGGGAAAGCCGCTCGCTGCTTATACCACTTTCGTACTTTACTGTTTAGATTTATGGAAAACTTACAAACCGAAGTTCAAGAAATGGAATTCCTTCAGTTTTCTAAGGGTCTGAACTTCATGAGGAAGGAAGATTTTGCAGAGTGGCTCCTTTTCTTCACTAACACTGAAAATAAAGACATCTACTGGAAAAACGTGAGAGAAAAGTTGTCGGTAGGAGAGGTTGGTATACCTTTTCTTTACACATTTGAGAGACTTGAAACAGACCAGAAATTTCATAGGACATAGTGACTTGTAACTGAACTGATGCAGCCAGGTCAAGGACACTTCCCTAGTACTAACCTCCCTGTGAGGCTGCAGCTCCACCGTGGGACAAGGCTCTACCCAGCGCTGAGTGCTGCTCTGGAGAGCTTAGCCAGAGGAAATAAGCAAGGCTGTTTGGGAAGAAGGCCATGGTTGTCCTGTTTACAGAGGCTTTGACTATGTACCCAGCGAGCCCAACAGAGCCCCCTTGAAAACCATCAGGAAAAAATTGAATTCAATGAAATGTTGCTGTGTTATTAGCATATTAGAAGTAGATGTCCGTGTACACATTTTCACAGGAAATGTGATTTGTGTATGAGCTTCAAAGTGGTGGTCACCAGACTCGCAGTCGTGGTTTTGTATGCGTCTGAGTGACTTTCTGTTGCTGTGACACCATCGCTAAGGCGATTACAGAAGGCAACATTTAACTTGGGCTTACAGGTGCAGGCTTAGATGTCATGGCAACAAAGCAAAGGCATGGTGGCAGGGACAGCTCAGCCCTCATGTCGTAATCCACAAGTTGGAGGCAGAGAGAGGGAGAGAGAAACAGACTGGGAATGAATGACACAAATCTTTTGAAACTTCAAAGTGTCACATACTTCCTCCAACAAGGCCACACCTCCTAACTCTGCTCACACAGTTCTGCCAACTGGGGACCAGGTAGGCGAGCATGAGCTGGGAGCCATGGGTGCCCTTCTCATTCAACCGTCTGTCCTGTAGTGAGATTTCAAGGGACTGTTTGGTTTTTTTTATTTTTTATTATTTATTTACATGTACGTGTGTATATTTCTATATTTATGTGTATATCTGAGGTTGGGGCCATCCCCTGGAGCTGGAGTAACAAGCAGTTGTAAGCTGCCTGATGTGGGTGCTGGGAATTGAACTCAGGTCCTCTGCAAGAATAAAACATGCTTCCACCCACTGTGCCATCTCTTCAGCCCATTAGTTTTCTTTTTGTTTTGAATCAGGGCCTTGCCATATTGCATGGACTGATCTTAACCTTGAAAGCTTAAGTGGTCTTTCACCTCAGCTTCCCTAGGAGCTACAACCACAGGCGTGTGTCACTGCGATTTTTTTTTTCCTTTGTCATTTTATGTAAGCAAAATGTTTTTAGAGTAAGCAAGTATTTTTGTATAAGATCTTAAGAACTATTTCTGTTTTATAAATTATGAACCCCTTTCTCTTTTTTTTCTTTTTTTTTTTTTTTTTTTTTTTGTTTTTTTTTTTTNTGTTGTTGTTGTGTTGTTTTGTTTTGTTTTTGTTTTTCGAAACAGAGTTTCTCTGTGGCTTTGGAGCCTGTCCTGGAACTAGCTCTTGTAGACCAGGCTGGCCTCGAACTCACAGAGATCCGCCTGCCTCTGCCTCCCAAGTGTTGGGATTAAAGGTGTGCACCACCACTGCCCAGCTGCCCAGCTTCTTTCTTTTTTTCTAATGTGTATCCATCCATGTTAGTGCTTGTGTGTGTACGTGTAAATCACATGTGTACAAATGCTCACAGAGGCCAGGAGGTGTCAGATCCCCTGGAACTAGAGTTACAGGAGATGCAACCCACTCTGTGTAAGTGTTGGGAATGGAATTCCGGTCCTGTGCAAGAGCAGCTGATATTAGTAACTGTTGGGCATCTCTCCAGCCTTTAAAAGCGATTTCTAGCAAAAGGGAAAAGATAAAGTATGAGTGATCCAGCCAGGCATGGCAGTGCACACCTTTAATTCCAGCACTCAGGAGGCAGAAGTGGGCAGATCTCTGAGTTCCAGACCAGCCTGGGCTACAAACTGAGTTCCAGGACAGCCAGAGCTACACAGAAAAACCATGTCATTAAAAAAAGGAAAAGAAAAAAAAAATACGAGTTATCCTTTTCCTCCTCTCATAATGTTGTCCAGTAGGCCTTGAATTTGTAATTCCCCTGCCTCAGCCTCCTGTGTGCCACCATGGTCAGACAGGCAATACAATTGATAATTGAAGTGGAAATACATAATTACAACATTTAATTTTTAAAATGAAGAAATGTTTATAATGATGGTGCATGCCTCTAGTCCCAGGACTCCAGAAGCCAAGGCAGATAGATCTTGAGTTTGAGGTCAGCCTGGTCTATAAGGGAGTTCCAGGACAGTCAGGGTTACGAAGAGAAACCCTGTCTCAAGAAAACAAAAAATTGTAATTTTTTTTAAAAGGAAGGAAATGTTTACAACCCTGATTAGATACAAAGGAAACATCTAATTTTAGAGGTGCCCCTAGTATTGACTAGGAGATTAAAATGTTTACATGGTCAGGTTGGCAGGTGAAGCTAGTGAGCACATGGTGGACTCTTCTCAAACCGTGACTCTCAAACACCAGGAGGATCTGAGAACTTAAAGATCAGACTGTCAGCTAGTACAGAGTACCTGAAATGCTTATGTTTCTACACTACCCTGCACAACAGAGTGGGTGCTCACAGAAGATTCGAGATTATTGGGTCAAAGACAAGAAAAACAAAAAAAAAAAATGTTACTCATAGCAGAAGCGTGAACATCCTGTTTGTGCTGGTTTCCCCTTGCCACCCAAGGCCAGTAACAGTGATTTTGAGAGTCCCTGGGAAGCTGCTGTGTGAAAAATCATACACAGCCAAACAAATCAGTCCTTCCCACCAGGCAGGAAGCGGTTTCCTGACCTTTGCTGCAGGAGGCCTTCTTTTCATTATCCTGGCAGCAAGCAAAGTAGCCCTCTGTCTGAGGAAGCCCGTATGGGTAGGGCCACTCCTGGGCTGTGGTCCTGGGTTCTATAAGAAAGCAGGCTGAACAAGCCATAAGGAGCAAGGCAGTAAGCATCACCCCTCCATGGCCTCTGCACCGGCTCCTTCCCCCTGGTTCTTGCCCTGCTTGAGTTCCTGTCCTGACCTCCTCTGATGGTGAACAGTGTGGAAGTGTAAGCCAAATAAGCCCTTTCCTCCCCAAGTTGCTTTGGTCATGGCATTTCATCACAGCAATGATAACCCTCACCAGGACAGGACATAAAGTCACAAGAAGAGAAATCACAAATGAACAGTGTGAAACCTCATTTTGAAGACGCACAAGTTCAGGTGGTAATGAGATGCCGTTTCCACCTGTAGAAAAGCCTAGCATGCACAAGGTCCCGAGTTCACACCTCAGCATGCTGAAAAGAAAAGTGGATATTGGAATGGCTGCACTCCATGCCTGTTTTAAGATCATGATACGATAGACAGAGAAAGATACTTGATCCACACTGTGCTGACAAATTCACTGTGGGGAAAAGGAAAGTGGAGTGCAGAAATGTGCAGAGAGGGTGTTCCGAGTCAGACGGCAGTTTGTGTTGTGTGGGTGCTCAGCCGGCTTTTGTATGAGCTGTGTATTTCTGGAAGCATACAGGTGCTGTCCATGCCTTTGCAGTGAGGTCAGAAGAGGGATCGGAGGAGGAAGGAAGGCTTGTTACCCTTCACACTGCTGGCATTTTTTCACCTTGGTCATATATTCTTTATAGTTCTTTTGTTGGGACTGGAGAGAAGGCTCGGGTTAAGAACACCGCTGCTCTTGCATAAGACCCAGTTTGATTCCAGCACCCACATGGTGGCTCACAACTGTCTGTAACTTCATCCGGGGGATCTGATGCCCGTTCTGGCCTCCATGGGCACAGGCATGCAAGTGGTACACAGACAAAACCCATATGAAAAATAATAAATTTTTTTAATTTGTTGCAGTTTTACAACTTCGATTGTTCCACAAAGGCTGGAAGCAGTGGTACTTGAGCAGACCACATGTGGACAGAGGGCAGGTCCTAAAAGGCCCTGGAGAAATAAGAATTTTCTGTCAGAACTTCCACTGGTCCAGCTGGCATGTCCCTGTAACCCAGCTACTCTGGAGATCAAGGCAATAGGGACACTAAGTTTGAAATGGACTCAGGCAGCATCAGTTGAAGGAAGAGAATTTTCTAATTTCTTTTTAAGATTTATTAATTTTATGTGAGTACTTCACCTGTATATATGACTTTATGCCAGAAGAGGTCATCAGATCCCACTATAGATGGTTGTGAGTCACCATGTGGTTGCTGGGAAGTGAACTCAGGACCTCTAGAAGAGCAGCCAGTGCTCATAACTGCTGAGCCATCTCCAGCCCCTCTCCAAGTTCTTTTTACTGGTAAAGGTAGCTTTTAAACTTAGGTTTTGTTTATTCTTAAGTACATAGATACTGAAATCAGATAGACCAAGGTTCAAATCTCAGTTCTACTCCATAGAGACCTTGGTCAAAGGAACCTAAGAGTTGCCTGCCTGAGGTTTAGGCAAAGATAATACACATCTTAGATGGCAGAGCTGAAGTTTCAGCATCGGCAACCTTATCCAGTGCCCTGTACACTGGTTAAGTAGAGTGGCCCATTGAACAGGGTGTTAGTAGTCTCCTTGGCTGTAGTCATAAAGTACAGAAAAATCTATCTTCTCTCTGTTCTGGAGATGTGAAATCTAAGATCAAAGTGCCAGCAAGGCTGGGTTTAAACTGCTCTTTGCTGTCTGTCCTCTGTGTCCTTGGATGGTTGCGGCTCTGTGGGGTGTGTGCGTGTACACAGGGAGAAAGGGAACAAGAGCAGCAATGAGTATACATACTTACGTTAGTGTGTATAGTCCCGTGGACATCAGCCTTACAGGACTGCAACCCTCCCAGGACCTCACTTTACCTCTGCAGCCTCCTTCAAAATGAGAATCAGGAGAGAAGCTAGGACTGGTCCAAGAGTACCCCGTCCACACAGCCACACGGCAGCCTCACTCTCATGGACCTCCTGCAGCTCTAGGATCTAGTGTTCTGTTCTTCTGCTGGGAGGCTGGGAGAGGGTTGCTTTAGGTTTTGTTTTTTGTTGTTGTTTTGTTTTGTTTTCTTGTTTTTCAAGACAGGATTTCTCTGGTTGTCCTGGAACTTACTCTGTAGACCAGGCTAGCCTCAACCTCACAGAGATCCACCTGCCTCTACCTCCGTATTCCACTCTGTTCTGTGTCTTTAACATTTTATCAGCTTGCTTAGAAAGATCTAAATTCATAATCTTTAGGATAGAAGACTTAACATCAATAAGATTGCAATGTATAGTGGGGTGGTGGTGGCACACGCCTTTAGAGACGGATCTCTGTGAGTTTGAGGCCACCCTGGTCTACAGGAGCTAATTCCAGGACAGCTAGGGCTGTTATACAGAGAAACCCTGTCTCGAAAAACTAAAAAAGAAAGAAAAAAATATTTCAATGTATATGTAAAATTATAATTTAAAAAACCTTTTATTTTATTAGAGCATTAGTTTGGATGAGTTCAAGTCATTTTGCCATTTTACAACGCATTTGGAAGACTTTGCTATCGCCATGCAAATGTTTAGCTTAGCTCATCGCCCCGTGAGACTGGGTAAGATACAGATCATTTCATTTTTATTGTCTGTAGGTAGTTTCACTATCGAGTAGATGATACCGATAAGGGGTGACTAGCGGTAAAATAATGTTATTCTCCGTTCATAGCACCCGCAGGCTTACTCAGGAAACACTTTATCTGCTTTTGCTTTCTTATTCTCCCGAAGGGGAAGGACATGGAATTGAATATGTTACTGGGAACCTTGATTACCTTGAAATGCCCTGCTTTACTCTCATGACATTTCTCAACCAAATGCATGATTTGAATACTCTCGTGATTTGTGTACACTCGTTGATTTGAGTACACTCGTGATTTGAATGCTCTTCTCAAATAGTGGGAAACTGGATTAAATCCACATAGACTAATTTACCTGTTGATCGGCAGTTTCTTGCTGTGCTTTTCAGCGGAGTTTAAGAGAGCTGTGAAAGTAGCCACTGGACAGGAGCTCTCAAACAATATCTTGGACACCGTCTTCAAGATCTTTGACTTGGACGGCGATGAGTGCCTCAGCCATGGGGAGTTTCTTGGAGTATTAAAAAACAGGATGCATCGAGGTTTATGGGTAACAGATTTTAGTTTGTTTATTTTTTGTTTTTTTTTTAAATCTGTGTTTTTACATGTTAGTAACAATGGTATTAAACCTAAAATTTAGAGCAAATGAAATATGTTAAATGGAATCTTTATCATTTATACAGAAACTAAATTACAACCAAACCCTGAACTGTCTTTCACAAGAGTGATATTTACCATTTTCCTTGCTTTAAAAATAACCTGAATCTGGGGAAATGGTTCCATTAGTTAGGCCCTGAGTTTGGTCCCCAGAACCAGGTAAATGCCAGGCACAGTGACATGTACTTAGAATCCCACTTCTGGAGAGACAGAGATAGATGGGTCTGTGGGTTTTGCCAGCTAGCCAGACTAGCCTCCTTTTTGAGCTTCAGGCCAGTGAATGACATCCAAGGCTGTCCTTGGACCTCTGTCATTGTACATACTTATACACACGCATGCACACACACTTGTACATACATGCACACTTGTATATTGAATGTACACATATTCACATACATCTAAATCTAATTTCAGAAATCACAGCCTAGTATCTAACCTTGAGTCTGACTTTGGATCTGACCTTAGTTCTGACTTTGGAACTGACCTTGGACTCATTAGGTCCAAATCCTGCCCTGTCATGTATTAACTGATGAATCTTTTTTGTTTTTTGTTTTTTTGTTTTTTGTTTTTTGTTTTTTTGAGACAGGGTTTCTCTGTGTAGCTTTGGAGCCTGTCCTGGCACTCGCTCTGTAGACCAGGCTGCCCTCAAACTCACAGAGATCCACCTGCCTCTGCCTCTGGAATGCTGGGATTAAAGGTGTGCGCCACGGCCACGCAGCTAACTGATGAATCTTGAAGAGCCACTTAGTTTGTTCCTCAGATAACTCATCTGTATAATGAAGAAAATGATCAATTTACCAACAGTACCTATGCAGGGAGCTAACTATGAAGCACGCAGAACCCTCAGTACATGTAGTGGCGGCTCATAGTCACATGCTGGGCTCTGAGTGGGGGACAGAGAAAGCCCAGAGTTTTGTTTGCATTAGGATCTACTAGAAGTACTCTCATGAAATAAATTTGTGTCAGAATAACTTGGCTTTATGCATCTGCACAGACAGTAAGTAGATAGTTAGGAAGAGAGCCAGGAAAAAGGGATGCTCAAGAACTGACGCTTGTGTTCCTAACATAAGATTATTCATTTACAATTAGAAAAGAGACCCTGGTTTCCCACAGCACATGTTATCTCGGAGAAATTAATAAATATGGGTTTCATTATATGCATTTGACAACATAACCCACACTCAGCTTTCTTTAGAGAAGTATGGGAAGGCAATAAGCAGGGCCATGAGACATGATCCCAGTGACTGACCTCTCTCTCGGGTGACAGGTGTCGCAGCAGCAGAGTGTGCAAGAGTACTGGAAGTGCGTGAAGAAGGAGAGCATTAAGGGAGTCAAGGAAGCCTGGAAACAAGCTTTTTAAGAAAAAGATGTGTAGCAATTACATTGCTTGAAGTGCCAGAATTTGACATTTTTTTCAAAGAATTAATTTTCTCTAAATCTTTATTGAGTTGCTTTGTAATGTAAAAATGCCATGTACTCATTTTCTGGTTCAGGGATTGAGGCGGGAGGCAGGGGGTAAAGTGTGTGCAACAGTGGGCATGTGGAAGTCAGACTCCAGCCTGTGGGAGCCAGTTCTCTCCTACCATGGGAGTCCCAGAAATTGAACTTGGGTCATGAGCTTTGGCATCAAGTGCTCTTACCTAATAAGCCCTCTAGCCAGCTCTGACTCAGTAATTGCTTGATAAATTTTCATTAAAGAATATAATAAAAAGAACAGAAAGTATTCCTTTACAGAAACACACACTACATTGTCAGAGGCCTGTATGCAGAGTGATGCTTTGGTAAGCTGGAAGCTGAGACCTGTAGTAAGAGTGGTGGGCTTTGTTCCTGCCTGGTTCCTGGCAGCCTGGCTAGTTTATACCCCGAAATAATTACATGGAAACTGTATTCTTTTAAATACTGCCTTGGCCCATTAGCTCTATCCTCTTACTGGCTAATTTTCATATCTTGATTAACCCATTTTTAATATTGTGTGTAGCACCACGAGGTGGTAGCTTAACAGGAAGGATCTTAACCTGTGTCCATCTTGGAGAGGAGAGCTATAGTGTCTGCCTGAATCTGCTTTTATTCTTCCAGCATTTTGTTCTGTCTACTCCGCCTATCAAGCTGCTGTCCTATCAAAGGCCAAGGCAGTTTCTTTATTAACCAATGAAATTAACACATAGACACATGACCCTCCTCCATCAGAGGCCGTCACTGAGCCCTTGGACATGAGAACGAGAGGTGCTTTCTAAAAGACTGAGCAAGCGCCACCTGTGACAAGTCTCACTCCAGGCTTCCCTCGCTGTATCCTGTCCTGTGTGCCTGTTCCCTCTCTGTGTCCTATCCTGTGTGACTGTTTCCTCTCTGTTCTGTCCTGTGTGACTGTTCCCTCTCTGTGTCCTGTCCTGTGACTGTTCCCTCTCTGTTTCCTGTCCTGTGTGCCTGTTCCCTCTCTGTGTCCTATCCTGTGTGACTGTTCCCTCTCTGTGTCCTGTCCTGTGTGACTGTTCCCTCTCTGTGTCCTGTCCTGTGTGACTGTTCCCTCTCTGTTTCCTGTCCTGTGTGTCTGTTCCCTCACTGTGTGTTCTCTGCCTTGGTGGCTTGTCTGGAAGCAGGATAAAGTATTGACAGTGATACAGGAAAAATAGGCTTTCTTCTAAATTTTCTATACTTTTGAGATATAAATACAGTACCCTCTCTCCCAAAACACAGGTTTGGAGGCTCAGCCTGCACAGGACACAGCTGAGTACCACACTTTCTTAACAACACACACACACAATGATCATAAGATCAAGGTCTCATAAAGGAAGATATATTGGGCTACGGGAAACATGCAAGATGGCACTATAAAGTAGTTGGCAGTAAAATAAATATGAAATAATGTTATGGGGAAATGTATGTATATTGTTTATGTATGTGTGTACAGGTGGGCATATATATGTATGTGGAAGCCCCTACTCCTATAAGTAGCCCCTTACCCATGTCCCAGAAGTAACCCCAATAAACTCATTAGTTCACCAAGCTAGACTTGGATGATACTATTACTTTGGTCTGTTATGTTTTCTTGAGATTTCCTTATTCTGTGTGTATAAGCATTGTACCTACTGTGTGCACCTTGTGTGTACTGTGGATGTTGTAAGCCACCATGTGGATGCTGGGAACCAAAACCCAGGTCCTTTGCAAGAACACAAGTGCTTTAACCCTTTGGCCATCTCTCCAGTACCCTGTCCTTTATCTGGTGTTACCGCAACATGAAAATCATAAAATGTTAGATTTTTGTGGGCTTGTTGTAGTTTGGCACTTGGATTATTTTGAGACAGAGTCTTGCTATGTTACCCTGTCTGTCTTAGACCTTGATATGTAGTCCAGGATGTCCCTAAATTCAGAGACTCACCTGCCTCTGCCTCCTGCGTTGTGGGACTAAAGGACATAATGACAATGATGTGTTGCAGTACAAAACATTGTACGCACCTGCAAGACCAGCTGACTACAGTAGAGATGTCAGGTGCTTTTCAGCAGGGCACCCAGAACATTACATAAAAGAAGGGGCTTGTTTTCAACAGTGTGCTAGGAAAATCCCATGTCCATATACACCTGTCATCTTCCAAGCTCATGGCAGCTCAGTGAGCTCTAAGCACTGAATTGTATTCTAGCCCAAAATGCCAAATTCCTTTCACAGTCCTCCCAAAAACAACATGGTCAGGTCTACAGAGCAATCCCCCATGATCCTGGTACCAATTTTTCTATTTGTTTTCTGTTGCTATGACAAACAGCATGACTGAGATCAACGTGGGGAAGAAAGCATTTCTTTCAGCTCGCCTCTCCTACAGTCCAGCATGAGGGAGGGCAGGGCAGGGACCTGGAGGCAGGACCGGCGTTGCGGGAGGTTCTTCCTCCTCCAGCCTACAGTCGCTGAGAGACCATGCAACAGAACTGATCCAGTGGCCGTGGAGGAATGCTGCCTACTCAACTGCCTTCATGACTTCCTCAGTCTGCTTTCTTATCCCACCTGCCCAAGGGTGGCTCTACTCCCAGTGGGCTGGGCTTTCCCACATTGATAATTAATCAAGAAAATGCCCCCTACAGAATTGCCTACTGACCAATCTTATGACAGCATTTTCTCAATTTAAAAAAAAAAAAAGTATGCACTCCTAGGAATTCAAATAAACATTTGCATCTGGTAATCATTGTATCATTATACATTTAGGCAATATATGTAAACACTAGTGTCCATCAAAAGATGAGTAGAAACACTAATGTATGGTATACATAGAGTACATTTCTCCACTGTAGTAAGGAGGCCACTTGTTGGTTCCCAGCTGCTCAGCCCAGAAATAATCACATAGAAACTGTATTAATTAAATCACTGTTTGACTCTAGATTCTTATTGGCTAGCTCTTACATATTAATTTAACCCATTTCCATTAATCTGTATATAGCCAGCCACAAGGATGTGGCTCACCGGGTCTGGCATCTGTCTTCAGTGGGGCTACATGGCTTCTTCCTTCTCCCAGCAGTCAGTTTGGTTTTCCCCACCTACCTAAGTTCAACAGGCCAAGGCAGTTTCTTTATTCACCAATGGTATTCCCAGCATACAGAGAGGAATCCCACATTATGCCACTCAGCCATATAAAGGGATGAGGTTCTAGTACATGGTACACCATGGATGGATCTTGAAAAGATCACGTACACAAAATGAAAGCCAGCAGAAAGGACTCAAGTACAGTGGTCATCTATCTAGAACTAAGAGTGAAGTGGGCAGTGGGTGGTAACCTGTAGTTAGAGAATATTAGAGTTTATGAAAAATTTTGTGAACATGTATTAGTGATGGATGCACAACAGTAATGCTGATATCACTGAGTCAAACATTTGTAACTGATGAAAGTTTCCATTTTTGTGTGTTATATATTTTATTACAATTTTTAGATTTGCAGTGTGATATAGCAAAACCCACTAAATGTGTACTTGAAATGAGTGAACTGCCAAGCATGTGCATTATATCTTAATACAGCTGTTCTTTTGTTTTATATAAACAAGATTAATCAATAGATTCAGTATTTGGAAATAGCAAGGAAAAACAAAGGATTGGAATTGGAATTCTCATCTTTATCTTCCTAATTTTTTCCCACAACCACCAGTAATTTTTTAAAAAAATACATTTATTGGGAGAGGTGGCACACACACATGTGACGTGGGATGCATGTGGAGGTCAGAAGACAACTTGAAGACTGTCCTTCCACCATGTGGGTCCTAGGGATCAAACTCACATCTTCAGTCTTGTCAGCAATTGCCTTTCATCCTGAGCCATCTTGCTGGCTCCCACTGCCATCTTTAATGGATATTTATAATGTCGACTTATTACTCAGATACTTACCCCAATAATAAATACCTGAAGTAATCAATTTGTAAAAAGAGAAAGGTCTTTGGGTTCATGGGTTTAGAATTCCCAGTCCATGTTACAGGTTTCTGTTGGGGTCCAAGGTGGCAGTGATGGGAAGTACCTGGTAGGAGAAAGACACTTTCTCTTGGCCAGAAAGAGGAGGAAGCAAGCCGGGCGATGGTGGCGCACGCCTTTAATCCCAGCACTCGGGAGGCAGAGGCAGGCGGATCTCTGTGAGTTCGAGACCAACCTGGTCTACAGAGCTAGTTCCAGGACAGGCTCCAAAGCCACAGAGAAACCCTGCCTCGAAAAACCAAAAAAAAAAAAAAAAAAAAAAAAAAGAGGAAGCAAGCAAGCAACAAAGGTCTCGTTTCCCTAAAGGACATATTCTCGATGACTCAAAGCCCTCCCTCACTAAGCCCTTCTAAAGGCTTCACTGCATCCCACAGCACCAAGATGATGAGCAAACCTTTGAAAATGTGGATCTGTGGAATTAAAACTTGCACCACAGATAAAGCTCTAACACATATGAATTGTAAAACATAAAATAACATGTAACCAGGAATTCATGCACAGCTGTTTTGGAAGAGTGCCCCCAAATAAATTCACATTTCTGGAACACCACTGAGTCAATGCCCTCTAGAATACCTAACACTCAGCAGAGAAACAAGGGAAGAACTGGGCATGGTTGGTTGCGCTGTAATCCCAAATATCTGGGAGTCCAAGGATAGGATCACCTGAGTTCAGGTTTTGAGGCAAACCTGGGCAAGAGTGAGATATTATGTCAGAAAGGAGGCAGGGGGTGCTGTGGGATAATGAATGCTCTTATACACTATAAAGATTTGTCACTCACATTGATTTAATAAAATGCTGATTGGCCAGTAGCCAGCAGCAAGTATAGGTAGGGCAACCAGACTGGGAGAATTCTGAGAAGAGGAAAGGCAGAGAGTCAGTCGCCACCCAGCACAGAGGAAACAAAATGACAATGCCTTACTGAGAAAAGGTACCAAGCCACATGACTAAACATAGATTAAAAGTTATGGGCTAATTTAAGTTGTAAGCGCTAGTTAGTAATAAGCCTGAGCAATAGGCCAATCAGTTTATAATTAATATAAGCCTGTGTGTGTTTATTTGGGACTGAATGTCTATGAAACCTGGAGGGACAGAAACTTCCTTCTACAGAGCGGGAGAGAACAGTTGGAGGAGCAGGAATAAAGGGGATAGAAATAGGGGGAGAGGATAAAGGAGGGGCGGGAGAAAAAAGAGGGGAGAAGAAAGTTAACAGCAGCCGATCTCTGTTCACTGTGAAAGGTGAGAGCACACAGATTGCTCTGTGCTCATTAGTTAGCCGAACACAAATTAAGACAAGATACTAATCCATACTTATCAGATTGGCAGAAATGTGACCCTGCAAAGGTTATCGTGAACTCAGGAAACAAGATCCCTGTGTCTGCTGGCTATAGGCAGTCTTAAGGAAACCTAGAAGGAGCCTACCTCCTGGACAGATGCTTTCAGAGGCGCATGCTAATGTATGTGCAGGAGGTGGCTCCAAGGGCCTTCCTGCCAAGACTGCCTCCGCCAGTGTCCACCACTAAGGAAATACAGAAATAAAATGAGCCGTGGAAAACGAGCATGGTGAGAACGGTGGCCTGAAACAGCAGGGAATGTGTCCAACATAATAAGCTTACGTCATGGGAAGCGAGGCCTATATGTAGCAACCACAATTTAGAAGTTAGAAATTGGAGCCATTGGGATGGCTCAACAGGTTAAGGTACTTGTCACCAAGCCTGGCAATCTGAGTTTGATCCCTGGGACCCACCTGGTGGGAGGACAGAATAGATGCCCACAAGTTGTTCTATAACCTCCACCTACGTGCTCACTACGACATGTGGGTGCCACACATGTATACATGCAAAAAAGTAAATGAATGTGGGGGAGACAAAGATTGCTCAGCCCAGTCTCCGGCCCTGCATCACCACCTGGAAGTGTGAAAATGTATTTTGTCTGATGATACTGTTTGTCCAATCAGAACGTAATTCCACAACACAGCAGCAGGTTCGTGTTTACACTCACTGTGTTTCTGAAACCTCCAGCAGCTGGCACATGGTCAGGGCTCCGTAAAGTGCAGCTAACACACAGCTGGGCGGAGAGGGCAGCACAGGACAGATGAAGCACTGACTTCAGGAGTCGAATGTGCCCAGAGCTGCAAAAGAAAATAAATCTTAACTTAAAAAATTCAGGGGTGTCGGGGGCTGGGGAGATGGCTCAGAGGTTAAGAACACTGGCTGTTCTTCCAGAGGTCCTGAGTTCAATTCCCAGCGACCACATGGTGGCTCAGAACACCATCTGTGATGAGGTCTGGTGCCCTCTTCTGGCATAGAGGTGTACATGCAGGAGGAACATTGTATACATAATAAATAAATCTTTAAAAAAAAAAATTCAGGGGTGCCAGGTTTGGTGGCACATGCCTTTATTCCCAGTATTGAGGAGGCAGAGACAAGAGGATCACTGTGAGTTCCAGGCCAGCCTTGTCTACATAGAGAGCTCCAGGACAGCCAGGACTACATAAAGAGACCCTATCTCAAAAATAAATGCATATTCAGGGCCTATGAGATGGCTCGGTGCCTAAAGGCACTTGCTGCCAAGGCCGAGTTCAATCCT